AGTAGCAGCAGCAGTAGTAGTAGTAGTACTAGTAGTCGTGGCAACAGTAGTAGTAATAGTAATAATGGTCGTGGCAACAATAACGGTTGCAGTAATAATAGCAGTGCAGACGTTCCCCGATTCGAACTTTAAATTTCAACGCGCGCGTGTAACCGTCTTCACTCTGAGTCAGACTGGACAGAGCTTATATTACATAATATTAGGTTGACCGAAGCAGGGAAAGAAAATGGTCAAGCTAGATCGTGCAATTTAACGGTCGTGTGCGCATTGGACGTTGCCGCTGCACGTTGGCGCGCGCGTGTTTCGGCGCGACGCGGCACGGGGGCGCACTCGCTATGTCGCGACAGTGTGAAGAACGCAACTCCCTGCCAGCCGCCGCCGCAAGCGCGGGAACGCCCCCTGGTGTCGCCGTCGCAACAATATCATAGAAACCGTGTAGAAACCGCAAGAAGCCTTTTAGAAACTGGTCTAGAAATCAATATCGTTTACATACACCAGGTCTATGATTCGTAATTATATTCGCTATGAAAAAAAAACACCTGTTTCTATGCGATTCTGGAAAGCATAACGGTTTCTAGGCCGGCTTGAAAGCGGTGTCTAACGTTTCCTACGCGGCTTCACCGAAAACGGACTGCACGCCGCGCGGCGGCGCTTCAGGGCGACGTCGCAAGAGTCGCGTCGACTCTGGCCGCCCGCTGCTGTGTCGTGCGTGCGACGAGGGCAACGGCGGGCATGCCGCGCGGCGTCGTTCGGGGAAGGACACTCCTCATAAAACAATCATTGCCAATTTTAAAGGCCATGGGAAAAAAGGCTGTAATAGCAGTAGTAGTAGTAGTAGTAGTAGTAGTAGTAGTAGTAGTAGTAGTAGTAGTAATAGTAGTCGTAGTAGTAGTAGTAGTAGTAGTAGTCGTAGTAGTAATAGTAGTAGTAGTAGTAGTACTAGTAGTAGTAGTAGTAGTAGTCGTCGTCGTCGTCGTATTGAAACAATTGTCTTGGGGGTCCTTTGCGCGAAGTAGTAAGTGGTAGTTGAGACGTGGTGGTCGTCGTTCAAATAGTAGTAGTAGTAGTAGTAGTAGTAGTAGTAGTAGTAGTAGTAGTTGTAGTAGTCGAAGTAATACCAGTAGTATTAATATTAGTAGTCGTAGTAAGAGCAGGAGTAAGAGTAGTAGTAGTAGTAGTAGTCGTAGTAGTAGCAAAAATACTTTAAGTACTAGGTCGCCTTAGTTGACGCAGTGGTAGTAGTAGTCGTAGAGGTATTCGTAAAAAATATAAAACAAATCCCAGAAGGCTGGTAGTAGTACTACCACAACTACTTCTACTGCTACTACTACGACTACAACTACTACTACTACTTCTACTACTACGGCTACTGCTACTACGATTCCTACAACTACGACAGGGAGGGGTAAGAGTAGTGGTAGTAGTTGTAACAATGGTTGAAATAGTAGAAGTAGAAGTAGAAGTCGTAGTTGCAGGCGTTGTAAGGTTCATGCCAATACCCAAGTTAAACATAGCAGTGGCAGTTGAACGTGTAGTAGTGGGACGAGTAGTGGCAGGCGTTGTGGTAGTAGGGGGAAAAAACAGTATCAGCAACAAGGGTATGAGTGGCAATGATAATGGTACTGGAAAGGGCGGCGGAGGCAGAACTGACATTCGCAATCGTTGTGGTCGGAGTAGTGAGAGTTGTAGCTCCAGTAGTAGTAGTAATAGTAAAAGAAATAGCAGCAGACAGTCATAGAAGTAGCAGCGAGAGCTGTGGCAATAGACATAATACTAGAAATAATAGTCGTAGTAGTAGCAATAGTAGTAATTGAAAAAGCCATCGTAATAATAGTAGTCGTAATACTGGTAGTCGTCGTAGTCGTAGTAGTGAGAGTAGTAGTAGTAGTTGGTAGAAGTAGTAGTAGTACTCGTCGTCGTAGAATGTGTCATAAACGTCGTGGTAGTAGTAGTAGTCGTCGTAGCAGTGATACGTAATGATAGCAGTGGTAGTAGTAGTCGTAGTACTGGTAGTACTAGTAGTAGTAGTAGTAGTAGTAGTAGTAGTAGTAGTAGTAGTAGTAGTAGAACATATAATTGTAGTCGTAGAAGTAGAAGTAGTGATAGTTGTAGGGGTACTCGCACAACAGATCGTAGTAGTCGTAATAGCAGCAGCGGTCGTGGTCGTAGAAGCAGTTGTCGTCGTAAGGCTAATCGCGGCAGTAGTAGTAGTCGCCGTATGACTTTTAGTAGTACGAGTCGTAGTAAAGGTAGTGGTGGTAGTACTCGTAGCAGTAGTACTTGTAATACTAATAATAATGGTAGTCGTACTACTAGTAGTAACACTAGTAGTAGTACTCGTGGCAGAGGTAGTAGCGATAGCACTAATAAAGATAATAGCACTAGTAATTTCAGTAGTGGTAACGGTAGTGGTATCCGTAGTAGTAATATTATGAGTATTGGCAATGGTAGTAGCTGGGCCACCACTGCAACGACTAGCACTACGTGCGCTACTACCACT